ACCGAAGGCCCCAGTGGCTGCGCTGGCATGCGGTTCCACACCCCATTCTGGCACACCCCTCGCACGTTTCGTGGCCCCATAGGGGGCTCCACCAAAGGTCCCAGTGGCACTGCCCGCTTGCGTCCGCCACCACCCAGCACAGCCCTTGTTCCCTGCGCTTCACCCACCCAGAACAGCGCTTCGTAGCCCTATAGGGAGCTCCACCAAAGGTCCCAGCGGCACCGCCCGCATGCGTCCGCCACCACCCTGCACAGCCCTTGCTCCCTGCCTGCGTTTCACCCACCCAGTACAGCGTTTCGTGGCCCCATAGGGAGCTCCACCGAAGGTCCCAGTGGCACCGCTCGCATGCGTCCGCCACCACGCAGCACAGCCCTTGCTGACCGCGTCTCACCCACCCAGTACGTGGCCCCATAGGGAGCTCCACCGAAGGTCCCAGTGGCACCGCCCGCATGCGTCCGCCACCACCCAGCACAATTGCGGCATTCACAACTGCATATGGTTGGGTCCTTCGCCAGGCTAATTTAGCGACCGCTCACCCTACAAAAACAAGCGCCGGCACCCCCCACCGCGCCCCCCCACCATGTCTGACACCCCCACCCTCCTGAACTCTCGTTGTATGCTTTTTTAGCGACCGCTCACCCTACAAAAACAAGCGCCGGCACCCCCCACCGCGCTCCCCCACCATGTCTAACACACCCAGCCTCCTGAACTCTCGTTGTATGCTTTTTTAGTGACCGCTCACCCTACAAAAACAAGCGCCGGCACCCCCCACCGCGCTCCCCCACCATGTCTGACACCCCCACCCTCCTGAACTCTCGTTGTATGCTTTTTTAGCGACCTCACCCTACAAAACAAGCGCCGGCACCCCCCACCGCGCTCCCCCACCATGTCGCCTCCTGAACTCTCGTTGTATGCTTTTTTAGCGACCGCTCACCCTACAAAAACAAGCGCCGGCACCCCCCACCGCGCCCCCCCACCATGTCTGACACCCCCACCTCCTGAACTCTCGTTGTATGCTTTTTTAGCGACCTCCCCTACAAAAACAAGCGCCGGCACCCCCCACCGCGCCCCCCACGACGTCTGACACCCCCACCTCCTGAACTCTCGTTGTATGCTTTTTTAGTGACCGCTCACCCTACAAAAACAAGCGCCGGCACCCCCCACCGCGCTCCCCCACGACGTCTAACACACCCAGCCTCCTGGACCCTCTTTGCGTGTTTTTTCAAAGACCACCCACCCTACAACAGCAAGCGCGGGCCCTCCCACCGCGCTCCCCCACCGCATCTGACACCCCACCCTCCTGCAAAAGAGGCGCCGGCACTCCCCAACCTAAAACCTCCTCTTTGTGTGCTTTTCCACCGACCCCCCAACCGACCAAACAGGCGCCGGCACGCCCACCGCGCGCCCCCCACGACGTCTGACACCGCCACCCTCCGCGGACCCCCCACCCTACAAAAACAAGCGCCTGCACTCCCACCGCGCGCCCCTACAGAACAAGAAAGCGAGAAAGCAAACCAGGGTCCGGGAAGTTGAGACCACGACACAGGGTCCGAGAGAACGAGAAACTAGAAAACGAACCAGAGTCAACGAAAACGAACCAGGGTCAGAAAAAACGGGCCAGTGTCCGAGAACACGAGACCACGACCCAGGGCGCGAGAAAACGAGAAAACGAGAATACGAACCAAGATCCGAGAAAACGAGACCACGACCCAGGGGCCGAAAAAAGAAGAGAAAGAGAACACGAACCAGCTATGGGGAAATCGAACATCCGTCTTGATCGATGTGACTATCGCTTGCATTAGCGATGCGACAATCGATCTCCCCATCGCTCTGACTAGCGATGTCCCTTTGCATCTCTATCGATGATACTCGATCGGTCTCACTATGGATCCCAGGATTGACCTCACAATCGATCTCACTATCTATATCGCAATCGATCAGACCAATATTTTCACCTCGATGGAAGAATGCTTCTCAGTGTCGATCGCACCAGCGAGATCACCATCGATTTCAGTACCTCTCTCAGTATCGATCTCACAGTGGACCTGAGAATCGGTGTCACCATGGATCTCCAGACCGATGTCACGATCGAGTTCGCTATCGATGCCAGTATGGATCGCACAATGGATGTCACTACCGATATCACGAGCGGCCGGACAATCAATATAACAATCGATATCACAATCGATGCCACGATCGATATCACAATCGATCCCACCATGGATCAAAAAATACATGTCGCCATCGGTGCCAGTAGCGATCTGAATATCCCTCTGACGTCCAGCCCACAAGTGATCTCACAATCCATGCTTCGATCAATCATCTCACTGTGGATCTCACCATCGGTCTCCCCATCGATCTCATTCTAGATTTTATGATCGATCTCACGATCGTTCTCACTGTCGATCTCCAGATCGACATCACGAGACCGAAGTGGAACGACCACGGCGACGGCAGCGACGAGGGGGGCGACAGCGGCGGCGGCCCCCCTATTCGTCGATCGTGTCGTCATTGTCTGGGGAAACGAAAAAGTACCGATACCGCCAGTTCCTGTTCACTGGACCACTCCCGAGATGCGTTCCGACCCGAATTTCAATGAGAATCCAACGGTGGCGACGAGGGCCTCCCAGGAGACACAAACAAGAGACAGCGAGGCAAGGGTGGTGGGATAGTGGTCCGCGATACTGTTTCCTCATCCGATCGTCGTCGCCAATCTTCGTCGTCGTCGGTCGTCGTCGTCGTCGTTGCCTCACCAGTTCGTCTGGTCGTTCCTCCTCCTCCTCGTCCTCCTCCTCCTCCCTGCTCGTCGTTGTCGTCCTCCTCATAATCAATGTAACAATCAATCTCACGATCGGTGCCAAGATCGCTATCACGATCGATCCAACTATCGATCAGACAATCCATGTCTCAATCAGTTTGAGTAGCGATGTGAATATCGTTCTGAATGTCCAGCCCACGAGTGATCTCACAATCCATGTTTCGATCTATCATATATCTCACTATGGATCTCACCATCGGTGTCCCTAAAGCTCCCCAAGAAGGCTCCTCCTCTCCCTCTTCCTCCAAGTGTTCCTTCAAGGATTTCCACGGCGGCTCGGGGAACAGCTCCTCCTCCTCAGCGCGAGCTTCACGCTACAATTCGGGGCAACGACCGCCAACCAGCGATGTCGCAATCGGGGCGCAGGCGTCACAGGACTTTAAGAATCTCTGGGGTCATGTCCTGGACCATGCGTAGCCATTTGGGCTCAAGCAGGCTGACCGAGGCATTGCCTCTTCCACACGCGAACCACGACAACGATGACATACCTCGCAGTTTGGAGGGGGGAGAGGAGCGCAGCAATCCGAAAGGGAGCCCACACCGCCTCAGGGCAGAACGCGACGATCGTTCAAAGTTGAACGGTCGTGCTTCTTCTCGACGCACGATCGTTTCAAATTTCAATGGTCATGCGTTGGGGCAGTGAGCAACCGTTGAACCTTGAACAATCGCCCCGCCCGGCCACGAGGCAGCCCGGCCACGGCTCCTCCTGCAGCTCCACGGCGCTTGAGCTGCAGGAGGAGCCTCCCAAGACGGATCCAAGTGGCCACGGAGACTTCCAAGGATGTCCCCGAGGGGCCTAAATCCTCCAAACTCTGTTGCACTCTCGCCTCATCGCTTCTGGTGAGCTTCCGGTACCTCACGACGGCTCCGAGATGGCCCAAGAGAGCCCCGACCGAGGCGCAACGCAGCCCCGAGGTGGCCCCTAGATCCCCCAAGAGCGTCCCGTGGGCGCTCCAAGGGGGCCCACAGAGGCGAATTTTCGGGCTCTAGGGGAGCAGCTTTGATCGACGTTCTCAAAACTGGCCCCAAGAGGGCGCCCACAGCCCCGAAGAAGACACACAGAGACCGCCAAGAGGGATCCACCATGGCCCCAAGAGAGCTCAAGATAATTCACGATGACCTTCCAAATGGCATAAGTCATCCAGAGATAGCTCCGGATGGCCTTCGAGACGCCTCGAAGAGGCACGGAACTCCCTTCCGATTCCCCCTCTTCCACCTCCTCTCGTTAGCATCCTCCTCCTCCTCCTCCTCCTCCTCCTCCTCCATCTCCATTCCTTCCCCTTATAAATAACTTCTCCCTGTCGCACCCTGGTGCCAGTTCTGAGGACGGGCCGGGCGTTTCGCCTGAGACTTCCTCACCAGTTATGACTCTGAAGCTTGAGAATTGGCAGCAATTTCACATATGGAGGGCGGGTCGTTTTCAAAATGTGGCTCCCGCCTCGGCGCCGCGCATACTCGCTTGAAACATTTGCAAGGAGTTTCACGGATTGAGGGCAAGTGGTTTTCGAAATGTGGCTCCCGCCTCAGCGCCGCGCACATTCGTTTGTAAACATTTGCAAGAGCTTCACGGATTGAGGGTGAGTCGTGTTCAAAATGTTGATCTCTCCTTAGCGCCGCGCACACTCGTCTTAAACATTTGCAAGAGTTTCACGGATTGAGGGCGGCTCCTTTTCAAACTGTAGATCTCTCCTGAGCGCCGCGCACATTCGTTTATGAACTTTGCAAGCGTTTCACGGATTCCCATGATCAACGTACCAGACATGGTGTGTTGCAATTATTCTTGATTTCGCGGTGCAACAGTTACGTTGGTTCGCGGTGTTGGAGTCCCAATAATGGCGTTTTGGCATGATTCAGGATCGCCCAGACGCAACAATCAGGTTTTTCCGTGGAGATGGAATCCAGAGAACACCGGTTTGGCATGCTTCAGGGTCTTCAAACGGTTGTCTTCGAACGAGGCAGTTCCCTCAATGGAAATGAACCGGAGTAGGGGCCTATGAAGAGGGAGCTTGGAGGGAGGGTTTATTCCAACATCGATGATGACTCTTGGTTTTGCACTGGTCCCCCTCCTCCTCCTCCTCCTGCTCCTCCCCCTCCCCATTGGCTTTATCTTCCTTCTCCTCTTCCTCACCGTCGATGACTAAAGACGGTGGCGGCGGATGTGACGACGACAGGAGTCAGCAATACAGACCTTGGCCCGAGTAGGAGGAAGCACAAAGATTGCTGCAGGTATGCCTCCAGGGCATTCTCAGAGCACCACGTATGCCTCCACGTATGCCTAGGGTATGCCACCAAGGCTTAGAAACCTTAGCACGCAACACTCACATAAACACCAGGCTCCTCATACACAGGATAGGTCACATACAACACTCGCCATATATGGCGTCTGTAATGTATAAGACTGGCCGTATTCGTCGGATGCAAGTGTGCTCAAACACACGAGCGGTCATATAGACCCTACCCATACAGGTATGCAGTGTGGACGTGGACGCGATATTGTGCAATGCATGCTGTGCAAACTGAATGGTGTAAAGAGCTATGTGGTGTAGGCTATGTGGTATAAGCTATGTGGTGCAACCTATGTGGTGAAAGGTTTGCAATGTCGAGACATCTATGCGGTGCAAGCCATGCGGTGCAAGTGATGTGGTGCAAACACTGTGATTGAACTTCTGCTTGAGGCGTTGAGGAATTTCTGCGACCGGATGATTGAACTTCCCAGAAGGCACAAGCGAAACAAGGCGCACGATAACAAAAAAACAAAAAAAATCCAGACGGGTCGTCGGCCTCGGTTGGGAAAGGACACGACGGACTCCCTAAAACAACCCGAAAGATCACCCCAAACCGCGACAGCCCCAAAAAACAACCGCGGACGATGGACCCGCCTGCGACGAGAATCGCGCAGGAAGAAGTGGGCCACGGAGGGGTCTCTAGGAGGAACAAGCAAAGAAAGGGTGAGGAACGGGTAGTGGTCCTGGCAGCGGCCGCGGTAAGAGGTATGTGAAGAAGAAGCAGCTAGCAGCAGCACTGAAGGTCATGACACACGAACAGGCGAACTTGGATCGGTCAAGCGTGAACGCGCACAAGGGCGCACAATTCAACCTTTAACGCCTCCGTTGACGTGGCTGGCGCGCCAACCGCATGAACGCAACTACGTTCGCGTTTCGTGCTGCACAAGACACGAATGACTCCGCGCTCTCGCGCCGCCCCCATGGGCCATGGGGGAGCGATGAGGACGAAGAAGATGAGGACGAATAATCGCGAATCGCAAAAAGCCAACAACTTCACGCCCTCGAGGCCGCCCTTTGGAATGCCCGCCCCTGGGCTACTCGCCCCAATTGTCGCCCCCGAGTGGGGCTCTCACGCTGGCTGCGAAAGCATCCAGACGCTCTGAAGCCACCCCTGGGCAAGGGCCTCCGAAACCCCGCCTGGGCCTCCACGAACAGCGATGGGCGAACCCCGACGCAGGAGCCGACCGACACAAGATCCGCGTCCCGCGATCATGACGGGCCGGGTCAATCATCACACTCGCTGCTTACCACACCTTGCGCCTCACCTCCACACCTGTGCCCTCACGGACTTCCTCCACGCACCTCGCTCCATTTCTCCGTGTTCTTCTTCCCTCGATTAGTCCTCTTCCTTCTACTCCCGCCACCCTGGGCCCTCCTCCCTACATCGTTTCCCCTTCTGCCACCTTCCTCTGCTCTCCCCCTGCATCCAATCCACAAATTCCGATGCCAAGGGCTACCATAGCGATCTGGGCCCAACTGAGCCAGGCGCCCTTCCCTCCCTTCGTGATGCAGCCAGGGCCCTTGCTTTTGCCCTTGCCCTGCCCAGGGGTCCAGTTCTTCGGCTTCTGGGGCGCGTTGTGTGCGGCCATGAGGGAGGGGTCACTGCGCAAGGCCTCCAGGGCGATCGCAGCCGCACTCTGCTCTGCTTCCTTGGGAGCCAACGCTCACGCTCAGAGAGGGACAACGACCAAACACTGTCAATGATGTGTTCCCGCATCTACCTCAATTTGCCACCGTGCGCCATAGCACGTTGAGGCGCGGTAGAATGCCAGGTGCAGTGTAGTAGGATATCTGTAATTTGCCAAAGGCCCCCCCCGTCCTCGGCATGCCCAATCGCACGCATCCCCCCGTTCATCCCTACATTTTCAACGCGGCCAAGCGCCTCCCGGGCGGTGTCCAAAGTTCCACGTGGTTTCCAAGACAACCCATGAAAGCCACCAAGGCCGCCATGTTACGAAACGCGGGGTCGCGTCATTTTCTTCCATTTTCAAAATCAACGATTTGACTTGTTTTGGTCATCGTTGTGATTCCCTGTGTGACGACGCTTTCACCGCAATTTACGGGCACGGTTCAACTCACCGTCTTTTTTCCGATCCAAATCCAAACCCAGCGTGCGCATTGCCGCAAGTCTTGAATTCTTCAGCCATCCCGGATATGCCGATCATGTTGGGAAGGTGTTTGGTCCAGGTAACAACCGCTACGCGCCAGAGGATACAACACTGTCTGACAATCCCAAATGTGCCAACCTGGTCTTGGAGGAGGGGCACCCGGAACACCCTTAGGATGACCCCGCTGTTGCCACTGCATCATCCCGCTTTGCATCCGGCACCGACTTCAAACTTCACGGAGGAACAGGAGGACACGACGGCAGGGGAGGGGGCGGGGGAAAAAGAGGTAGGGGGACACGTGGTGGCCGAGGAAGCACAATCCAACAAAGACACGATAAACATGGGAAAGGGCAAAGAGGACCCTAAAAACCGACGTCGCGAAACAAATGAAACATCGCGGCACATCACGGAGACACGGACCTCACCTCTTTGCTTCATGTTTCGAACCCGATCGATTTGTGATGGTCCCATCCGAGTGCCCAAGACGGACGGCAGCGAGCGAAAGCTCCAAGGATTAGATGCGACAGCCTTTTACCCCCGAGCCTGCAAGGGACTACGATCAACATAAACGTTGCCCTGTTCATGTTTGCTGCGGGGGCGCGAAGATGTCTCGCACTCCTCCTCGAGAGCAGCAGGCTCAGACGCGCTCGCCTGTGCCCATCGCGCTTAGTATGGGCCTTCTCCACCATATACAAGCTGTAGACGGCGCCCCGTCGAGCTGACTCTGCCTGGTGGGTATTTTGGTGATTCATCACGGCTCCAAGCTGCGCGGCGCATCGCTCGGCTTCGCACTGCACGCGGCAAAGTAATCGCTTGGCTCCAGGCCAAGCACGTACACATCATCTGCATACTGCACCACTGAATCGATGACGCACTGCGTCGCCTCCATCTCGCTCCACCGTGGCCGTCGTGAATCGCCGCCTTGCCCTGGTGAGCCCATCGCAGACTGCAGGGTAACAGGCAGCCCCCTCACCACGCCGCGGCGTCGCGTAGGACCCAGCGCCTTTGTCATGAGATCCGCAGCGTTCTCGCACGTCGGGGCCGTCTTAGTCCGCGCCTGCTGGCTCGCCGCCGCCTCCTGTAGCCACAGATACCTCGCGTCTAGGTGCCTGCTGCGACCGGCGCCGAGCCTCAAGCAAATCCCGATCGCCGCCGCACAGTCGCCAGCCACCGCCACCATCATCTCGATCTGCATCTCCTCGAGCAGGTTCTTCATGAAGATGCCCCGGGCCGCTCCGTTAGTCATCTCCACGTGCTCGGCTTCACCGCTGCTCAGTGCTCTCGACGCCTGCCGCCCCGCCCAGCTGTCGATGCACTCCTCCCCCACGTACGCGAAACCGTCTCCAAAGATTCGCCTCGTCGCTTCGTCTCCAGCCCAGTCGGAGTCAGTCACGGTCGCGATCTCCGTCGGCATCTCTTGATACCCGAAGTGCCAAGTCATCTGCGGGTAGGTCGCCAGTTGCGTGGCAAGCCTCTTGAGATCCAGCTCGTGGATCTCCATCGGCTCCTCTATGCCTCGCAGGATCCAGCTCGTCGAGAACTGGATGTCTGGCCTGTCTGCGGCCAAGTAGAGCGCCGTCGGCGCTGCAAACTGGAACGCCTCCTTCGCATTGTAGCTCAGGGTGTCCAGCGCCGACGGCACGTCCTTCCCGGCGTTCCTTGATTATGGCGAGATCTCCCTCGTCGCCGCCAGCTTCCGATGCGCTTCCGCCGCATCAGTGCGCGCTTGGCGCCGCTTCCCCAGCGGAAGCCTTCCCCCGTCCAGCTCACCGTTCTCTTCAGAACGTACCAGACGCAGCCTCACCTCTGGCATGCGAGGGCCCGATGAAGGGAGACCTTTTCACCTCGAACTTCTCCTCCAGGACCTCGTCGAGCCACTGCAGGTCGACGCGGGCAACCGCCGCCGCGAAGTCGTCGCCGCGCGCCGCCGCGTAGATGCCCTTCTCGAGGTGGTAGAACACCGCGACCGTCACCTGCAGCCTGATGAAGCCCTTGGCGATCAGCGATCCGATGGCCATGTGCTGGAACAGCTTGCTCGCGCGCCTCGCGCCGCGCGTCGCCGCCAGCAACTGCCTTGCAAAATTCGGAGAGTCTTCGCCGACGGGCGGCGCCGCGCAAACGTCTTCATTCATCGCGGCGCGGGAGAAAGCGTCGCGGATGTCCCGGGGGCCAATCGGGTAGACCCCCGGGCCGCGCTCGAGCCTGGCCGCCGTCGCCAGCGCGAGCCTCGCGAACTTCAGGGGCGGCGCGTCTGCTAACGTGTCATCGCGCACCTGGCGCGCGACCTGCATGGCCACTAACCTGCGCCACACGGTCGCACGCGCTCTCCTTTGGCCTCGCGGGCGAAGGCCCTCTAAACCACGTTGTGCTCCTTCATCCCCGCGCGCTCCCGAGCACGTCCTTCCTTCGCCTTGTCTGCTGGCAGTAGACAGCGCCCCCTCGATGTCCGTCAAGTCCTTCTCGTTGACGGGCTCGGCTGCGTGCTCGCCCAAGACCGCCGCGCAGATCGCGGGCGGTGCGACGCGCGCAGGCAAACCTGCAGTAGTGCGTGCCTTCTTGCTTTCGGCGATCTCCTTCGTCCCTGAGACTTGTCTCTTAGCCCTCGCAGCGATCTCGATGGGCTCCTGATCCATCATCTCGGCGTTCTGCTCCTCAGCGTCGGGCATTGCAACGTCTGCTCCGTCGTCGTGACATGGCTGCGCTGGTGCCGCGGCTGATGCTGCGGCAGCTGCTGGCAGGGGGGGAGCTTGGCCGTCGCTGGCCGCTGGCTGCGCGGGCTCGGCCTGACCTCTCTCCCCGGTCGCTTACTTCCCTTGCTGGCGGAGGAGCCTCGGCTCTAAACCCAGCCTAAACCGCCGGGCCCCTCGCGACATCGCCCGCGCCGAGCAGCGCTTCCGAGCGAGCTCTGCCCTCGGCCGCGCGGCGATGGCCCTGTCTCGTCGCGGGCAGGGCAGCCTGGCGCCCTGCCCAGTCGGGCGAAGATCGCCCGGGCCAGGTACCTCGGCCCCAGGGCGGGCCCCGCCGCCAGGAGGGCCGCCTCCTGGTCGAAAGGGCCGCGCGCGATCCGACCGAAATGGCGCTCGTTCCATCTCTTCTCAGCGGGCCCCCGAGCAATGGAGCGCGAGCAGACCCTGCCCTGAGCGCGTCGATCACGCGCTCGTCGCTGACGTTCGTCTTGCCTAGCGAGATGCCCTCGTCCGACCCAGCCCCCGTCTTGCCCGCCACCCCAGCAAGCAACTCGTGCATCGCGGTCTCCGCAAACGCAGCGATCTGACCGCCGCAATCTCTCCCCTTGAACCGTCGAAACGGCGTCGTGCCGTCTTCTCTCACGGTGAACCTCATGGGAATCCAGCCGGCGTGTCTCGCCAGCCAGGTGCAGGCGGGGTCGCTGGGCTCCAGCTCGACAATGTAGTCCGCGTCGACGGTGCGCACCATGGCGCGGACGAGCTGCTGCGCCCTGCCGCCTGCTGCCTCGATCGGCCTCTTCGACTTGGCGCCCAGCCTCGGGCCAACCTGCGCGGCGGTCTCTTCGCCGCGCTCCGCGGCGAAAGATCTGCCCGGCGTCGCGGTCGCGCTCTCCTGGTCGCGCGACGTCGCCGCGCGCTTGCGGCCCAAGAACTGGGGGGGCTGCAATGGAACCACGATGGCGCAGTCAACCATGCCCTCTTACATCGCGTCGGCGCTCTCAATCGCCGTTGGCTCGAAGTCCAAGAGCGCAGGCGGGGTCGTCGCGCCGTCGGCGCCGCGCGTGCCTGGGAACGAGAAATCAATCCAGACCCGCGGCGCGTCGCGCTCCTGATCTGTCCCGCGGCGTACTTCCTCGCGGCCCCCTCCTGCGAAGCACGCCTTGCGCCGCGAATGGCAGGGCCAATGAGTGAGTCTGTGTAGCTGTCTCTCGGCCAACGGTGGCATGACTGGCACTCCTGTGGCCCGTGTAGCTCGGCCTTCAAGACTGTCGCGCAGCTCGATCGCATCCCGACGCTTCGCGATGATATCCTGGCGGTCGCAGACCAGCCTCTCCTGCGCCGGCCACGCCGCCGCCGCTGCCGATGAGCTCGCCGCTTCTCCCCCAGCTGCCCGTTGAGCTGCGCCTTCAGCTCCGTCAGGATCGCGTCTTTCTCTATAGACGGGCAGCGGGTCAACCGCGGCTGGCTGCCCGAGCTGCGCGACCGCGATCGCGAGCTCGTTGGCCGCGACCGCGCGCTTCACCTGCAAGCGCCATGTGCGGCCCTGCAAGGTCAGCGGGAACAGTCTCCCACTGGGCGCCGCCAGCGCGCTCGCGTAGACGCCGTACCTCGGCGCGAAGCCCGCCTTCAGCAAGTCCCGCTGCGCGACGATCGGGCACCTCGCATTCGCCGCCAGGAACCTGAACATCGCGATATCGCGCTGCCGGTTCGTCGCCCCCACGACGAGGCTGCCTTCGCAGGCGCCGTCGCGCGTGCTCCCCTGGCCAGCGGCCGCCTCCAACGGCTGTGGCTTCTCGAGCTCGGCCCGCCGCCCTGAGCCCGCTGGCCGTTCCTCCGCAAAGGATGGCGGGCGCGCAGTGGTGCCAGCCCCGCTG